TTCTTAGAGACGCTCACGCCGGCCTCGGTCAACTTTTTCTGGCCGTCAGTGGCCGGTCTCTTTTTCTTGGACGGGGCAGGCTTTGGGGCCGCATCTGCAGTAGCCCCGCTCACACCGGCCGCGGCACGCCGGGCCGCTTCGGCCGCCTTAGCAGCAATCTCCTCGGCCGCTTTGGCCTTTGCAATGGCCATCATGGAACGGCGGTCCATGACAAAATCTACAAGGGAAAAGCACAAACAGATTAGTAAGGAAAAGGACAACACGTAAAGACAGAAAGCCGAAGAAAAATTACCATCGGCCTCAGCAGGAATGCCCAAAGGCGGGCCATCGGCCTCCTCAAAGGTGGTGGTCATCCTCGGCCAGAGTTGGAGGTCATCCTCCTTATCTCCATACAAGTGATATCTGAAGAAGCCGAGGGCCGTCATCTTGTATTCAGTGACGTAATCTTTCACGCTCCTCGGCCCCCCTTCCAGGAAAGCCTCCACCTGAGCGTCCAAAATAGAGCTCTTCGGCGGGTCATGAAGGTTGAACCTCCCGGTATGGCCGAGGGAGGGGAACTCGGTGCCACTCTCACCAATGGACACAAACACGAACTTGCTCTTCCACCCATGAATGGACGTAGGCAAATCCGTGAAGCTCCTCTTCCTCGGCAGCTGTTGAAGTGTGGCATAGGCCGCACAGTTCTTGTGGCTTCCTCGGCCGATCTGGTACAAGTTCATGAATAAGGCCGTGGTCGGCCTGTAGCCCAACTCCTCACACCGAAGCAAGAAGCCCACTATCAAGGAATAACTGTTCGGCGTCAGCAGGGCCGGAGGAAGCCCCACCATGTCCAGGTACTCGGTGACGAAAGGGTGAAGGGGGAACCTCAACCCCTTAGCAAAACTCATCGGGTATACTCCGAAGTATCCCGGTGGCGGAAGTAGAACATGGTCCGTCGGCCTGGGTGCCCTAACCCGCCCGAACGGCCCCACGTACATCTGGGCGACAAGATAGTCGGCCTCACTGCTCTCCGGCTTAATCAAGAATATGTTGGTGAGGTCCAAGTAGGAGAGGCCCGGCCCATTCTTCGGCCTCCTCACCCTCTTCGGCTTAGCTGCGCCCTTCACGGCGGATACCGGCCTCGGGCACGGAACGGCAGCAGAAGTGGACGCCCCGTCCACCGCTCGGGACGCGCCTACGTCCCCACCCTCTGAAGAGGAGGCGGACTCCTCGTCCTCGATCTCCTCGTCCATCAGCTCTCCGGATTTGTAGGGGCTTAAACGCTCTATCTCCTCTTCAAACTCCTCGAGCACCTCGTAGTCAAGGGACCTCGTGGAGGGCTGGTCGTCGTAGGGGTAGTAGTCCTCGTTCAAGCTCTTCATTACTACTTTTACGGACTTAAGGAGAACAACTTACGATCTAAAGGTGTTTAAACGCCTAACACTAGATCAACTACTTACGGAGCAAAATATAAAAAGTGAGGAAGATCGTGATAAACACTAACCTCAAACAACGAAGAACACGAAGAACAGGCTTGGGAGTTTATCTCTCTAGAAAATCGGCCAGCACTTCGACAAATTCAGAATGCAAATGTGATTCTTCGTCGGAGGGGAAGGGGTATTTATAGACCTCCCACCAACGGTCACTACACGTGGCACTCACCCAATGGCCACATCAACGGCCACCACTGGGGGGCCACCACGTCACCAACGGGCCAGTACCAACCCATATCAACGGCCCACTGGCAAAGCAGACTCTACGGCCTACACACGCTCAACGGCTTTACAACTGCCAGCAAGCGCCCACAACGTCCCACTTGCTCACCAATATCACAAATGCCAAACAATAAGAGGATGACAACGGCCAGGTACGTGACGGCCACAGAACAAAGGGAACAAATAGCCCACAGCCTTCGGCTCCTCGTAATAACCCTTGATGATAACTCTCTACAAGCGATCTGCGCACAAGGGTTCTCCCACAGGGTTACCTTGGCCAGAAAATCGCCATGAGAGTTGGATTCAGGGGGACTACGGCGAGACCGCTTCGGCCAGGGACTCAAGCAACTCCTTCACCCCTCGCATTCTTCGGCCTGAAGCAGTGGGGGACTGGGGGACTACACCGGCCTCAACGAAACAAAGGTATAAACAAGGTAACCACAAAACATGGCCACATCATCCACACAACACAACGGAACCTCATCGGCCAAAGGCCCAAAACGTCATTAGCAACGGCCAACAAGCCACTAGAGGCAAGGACACTCATCGTCCTCCGCCAACAATTAATCTTAACGGGCTCTTCGGCCAAAAACACGAAGGCCAACCAGCAACGGCCAAAAGGAGTGCGCAGATACCCTCATCGGCCATACAAAGAAAATGAGGCCATCGTCCTCAAAGCAAGGAACAAACCCAACGGCTTCACCGGCCCAAACATAAACTTCAACCACCAACGTCCAGGAAAAGGAAAGCGCGCCTTCAACGTCCACCATTGAAAGAAGGACACTCATCGTCCCAAAACAAATTAAGGAAACAACGGCCTCCCCGCCACAGCAAGGAACAGGTAACGGCCAAGGCACAGAACAGGATCATCAAAGAGGAAACAACGCCAACGCCGCAACGGCTAACGGCCTGGAAATGCCCGCGTCGGCCAAAAGCAACAGCACAGAAATCTACTCTCCTTCACTTCGTCTACGTCTCAGCTTAGAGAGTGGGGGACTCCTGATGGAGTATATGGGTCTGAGCCCCAGGACCCACATACTCGGAAGAACAGAGCACAGGACAACAGAGTGGCGCCCTCGTCGGCCAAGACGCCCCCGTCGGCCGAGAAGAAGCCAACCCGGATTATGATCCTAAGTCCAAAGAACCCGGGTGCCCTCGTCGGCCGTGCCCTCGTCGGCCGTGCCCTCGTCGGCCACGCCCTCGTCGGCCACAAGGACCTCCCAGAATCGGATCCTATACTCACTCATTTGTACAGCCCATTAGTGGCTTTGTATTCGGCCCAGTAGCAGTCCAGTTGTAAATGGGCCTCCCAAGCCCAAGGCTTGGGAGCCCAACCCTAATTTTCTCTATAAATACTCCCCTTGGGAGTAGTTATAGGGGTGAAAAAATCATTCTATTGAAGCATATTATTGCATTTCTCTCTCTAGCTCTCACTTCTCTCTAGAATTCAGGAGATATACTCTATCACTAAGCTCATATCACTGCCATAAGTTCATGTGTAGAACTCAATCCTAAAAGATCAATGTATTAGGAGGAGTGGACACCTTGTTTATAAACCACCGGTCAAGCCCATACTTGACCGATGTGGGATCGTTACAAACTGTTAATTTGACTCGAACATGATAATCAAATAGCGGATGATTAGATTAGGTTAGATGCCAATGAACCTACATCATTACTCTAAGTCATAAAGCGCGGTATATTTCAATAATTTATTTTAATTGACTTTCCAATTATATTTTAAGATGAAATTTGGTGAACATAAACAGATTTGATGAAGAATTTGTCTAAAAACTTTCATAAAAAACTAAACCAAACAGTGAATACCGCAAGACATTTCCGGTTTGGAGCTCCTGGCTCGAACGAGGCTCTTTAATTATTTATATATTTTTAAAGTGCACAAAGGTAAGAAACTACTACATATAGTACTTCTATCGTGTTAGACATCCTCCCAACGTACCGTCCGGTCGGAGTTGGGGGACCCTTAGGGATGGGGTGTCATCCTTTTTTTCTACCGTGTTAGACATTTAAATACAAATGTTTATTTCTAGAAATTTTCTCATCAATTCTCGCGTGATTATATTTTTAAATTGTTATAACTTCCTTAAAACATACTCCTTTTAGAATTCAAAATTGCAAATACAATTAAATTAAATACCTAATTTAGTATTCAAGTATAATCTGTTGAAATAGATGTTACTAAAATATTTTTTCTTATTGAAAAAAGTAAGCTTATTTAGATTTTTTTTTGGATAAACGTAAGCTTATTTAGATACTTCCATTTGAGGTGTATAATGGAGCACGACTACTCTTGTTCTTTGTTTAAACATCATTTTAGATTTTTTATGAAAATAGAGAATGTTAAATTTGCCCTCCTATTCTGTTTGAAAAGTCAATTAAGTCTCATACCTTAACTTTCATCAACTACGTCCTCCTACTATATATGTAATTTTTGTCAAAATTGATTTTTGGCAGGTTACCTACCTGTCAACATTTTACCTGTTGACTGTTGTCGAGTCAACATTACCTGTTGACTACCTGTCAACATGTTATCTGTTGACGGTTGTCGAGTCAACATTACCTGTTGACGGAGCACACACATTACCTCACACAGCGAACATGTGATGGTAAATGTCAATTTTTTATTTTTCCTTTTTCCATTTTTTTTACTTTTTATATTCCTTTCCTTTCTCCTTTCCCGTTCCCCCGTCTTCTTCCTTGCGCAGACCCCACACAATTGCACTCATTCCATGTTTCCCCTTTCTTCTTCTTGCACAGCCCAGATTTTCTGGGCTTGCTTCAACGGATGAGCTGGACGAGAGCAATGACAAAACTGCAGCGAAGCTCCCCCTCAACCAGGAACGATGGCCAATTGGATCAGAGATTGAAAATGAGAGCTCAATAGTTACTTAGGATGTTTTACTTGGACCGGAATTTTGTGGTCTGGTCTGAACTGGTTTGGTAGACGTTTGGTCTCTGTGTATTTTATAAATATCCAAGTCTAGTCTAGTCTGGGAATGAAAACAATCCAAGTAAAAATATCATTACTGGAAGAGAGGGGGAAAGGGCTTGTCGCCGGTTGTCTTCATCGTAGGCCATCTTCACCATCTGCATCAAAAGTCATCTACATGCAAGGATGAAACAGTTTGCAGGTCTGTGAGTAGGAAGAAGAATGAGGGAATGGGGAGGTTCCATGGAAGTAGCAGGTCGCGCTGTCGCGGGGAGGAAGAGCGAGGGAATGTGAAGAACGAGGGAATGGGGAAAGAAAGGAAGAAAAAGGAAAAAGGAAATCGAAGAAAAAGCAACTGGATATAAAACGCTTAAAACGGAATAATATACGGCAAAAGACTAGATCATGGAAACTAGGTCATATTGCACAGTGTCAAGTTAATCTTCTCTTTAATTGAAGAAAATGAAAAAGAATATTGCTTCAACAACTCGTAATTCAGCCATCAAACCATCCACACTAAAAGCAAATTCTCATAAGGCAAAGTCAATTTCACAATAAAATATGTGGATTTTGAACACTACACACAATCTGTGCACATGGTTCACTTCCATAACTACTTATTGATTAGTTCTATAAAGGCCTAGTAAGACTTCCCACAGTGTATCAAACTTCCAGCCCCCAAAAACAGACCAAAGATTGCTGCACTGCCCACTGTTGTCTGCCCAATGTGCCTGATTTTCAAAAGTCCAGGAACCTGGAATTTTATAAGTAATGAGCAGATGAAGAAATTAGATGACTGAGAAATTACAGTTATGAAGTGGTGAAAAGATAAAGGGCTTATATATGTATATTGACAAGTAAAACACATAGGGGTGATAAAGAATGGGGGTTGAGTTGAACCTAAAATACAATATCCAAACGCACAGAAGCACCAAATGATGTTTAAAAGGGCAATGCTGTTTGAGTTGGATGAGGGTATTGATAATATATTTGATTTGGTAGAGCTTTTAGTAAGGTTCAGCTTGAATGACATGGTATAGAAGGGAAATGCTATGGAGGGATTAGTCTCTGGAGCTTGATGAATAGAAAACACACACTTGCATATATACACACACTTGTATCAGATGGCCCTCAAAATACAGACATAGCCCTCAGAAGCCCTCCATCCAAACTGACCCAAAAGAAAGAACTTTGTCAGTACGCATTCATAGTTTATCTATAGAAAATTATCGATATTCTCAATATACTGTAGCATCACTAATGGGTGAGACCTTATCTCATTCCCCAAACCTATGAGGCTATGACTCCAGCTTATCACCTAAGCTAGAACATAATAAGAGAGAAAGATGGATAGAAGGAGGGAGTGGGAGAGTGAGAGAGTCCATTGTCAAGCAGAAAAGCAAAGAAAGGTCTGCAATGGTCCATCAGTCTACGGTGATGTTGATCATGGAGAGTGTTCGGCATGGACTTGGCTTTGTTATGTCTACAAATACTGAACTTTCCCTTGATTCTATTAACTAGCCTATAAGCCTGTAACATTAAGGTTGGACATCAAATCCACCCAGTTATCATTTATGGCATCCTACCCATAACATTTTAATGTATTGTTCACGTTTTACTTGTCAAGAAGTTAATAAAAACATATTTGGTTATAGATGCTAAATTGCTAATAGAACAAATAAGTATATGATAAAAATTTCACAAATAAAAAAACAATAAAATCCAAGTACCGTCCAAATTAAAAACTCACATATTCCCTAAGGACAATGGTCTATCATTTGGAAACAGAACGGTGAAACTTAGACAACCAGAAGATAATGGCAGTGTCTACTGGTATTACATTCAAAAACTATATGTCTATTAAAATTTAAACTTTAAAGAAACAAGACTTCACCTTATATCTAATAGCCTCAACAGTGCCCCATACAGCACCTGCAAACAAACATATAAAACTATGGATCGATGCTCTGTTGGAACTTGGAATAACTAAAAAATCGTTTAAACAACTCAAGATAAAGTGTCATTGGAGGGCCACACTATCATTGGTAAAAAAAACTTCATTAAGATTATAAGATAAACAAATTTCTTAACTTGAGACTTACAAGACCAAAATAAAGTGGACCTTTTGATCACTCCCACAAGTTGAGTTTCAATATTATAATGTGGTTTTCTCTTTATGCAGGAACATTGAAACTTCAGGATAATTGTTCATATAGCATGTTGAGACAACTAAAAACAGTGTGGAACCATTTCATGATAGCGTGCACCAATTCATAGCTCACTGCCTCCAAATATTTACTATTTTAAGATTTTTTAAATTTAAACTTAAGAAAAAAGGGCCCTTTACTCATTAATAGACTGAATCAACAAAACTCTCTTATTTCTGACTCACCCCTAAGCCATTACTGTCAAGCATCAATAAGACAACAACAGAGTGGGGAGAAGGGAAGCTTATGAAATTCTTTATGCCTCAGTGCTAGGGTAAAACAAATACAGACAACTCAAAAGTTATACCTTAATCAAATTAGTTAATCTATGTACTCTTAAGAAACAGAAAACACATAGATTTAATTGTATATGAAAGGGTAAGAGAAACAAAAACTCTTTCCTGCTACTGTAACTACCAGCAATTACAATTAAATGAACAATGGAATCAAAAATATAGAGAATTCAAATCAGTAATAGGGGTACTTCATGTTTGTTCCGCGTAATCTATTGAGCATGGGTGAATAGTGGAAGCGTTTAGGTCTAAGGAATCGTACCTACAGCGCCACCAACAGCACCACCGACTGCCGCTCCTGCGGCGATGCGTGCCAAACAGCTGTTTTCCCTAGCCATCTCTGTCTGTGAATAGCTCCGGAAGGATGGGGTTGAAGGCGCTTGAAAGTAAATAAAAGGGGAATTGAACCCATTTTCACCTATATAAATTTGTGTTTGCACTATATATTTAAAATAGTTATTAGTATTATTTATGCCCTAATTAAATACTACCTCCGTCCCAAAATGAACTTCTCATTTCGTTACGATGCTTGAACGACGATAAAGTAACTCGATCCCTGTTCATACTCAAATTACTTTCAGTAAATAAAAGTTACATATTGAGAAACTACATTAAAACCGCTACAAATGCTGATAAAAAAATATAAATTTGATAAAAATTTGATATATAAAACATAAGATTAAGAGTAATTTAAGTTGATCATGTGAATAGTGATTGTGAAATTCATTTTGGGACGGAGGGAGTATGAAAATTTACATCCTATGTTTACATATTCGAGAAGGCAGTCAGATGATTTTCTGAAATATACTGTGCTGCCTAATTACGCAATTATCTTCAAAAATTCGTTTGACTGTCTTACAGATTGCATTTTTAGCTGAAATTTGGTATGAGTAAACTACACTCAATGAAAAAGATTCTCAAAAACTTTCATCAAAAAATCCACCGGAAACCACCCCAAATGACGACGGCCGGGCAGAGTCTCCTATAAAAGGGCTTATTTGCACTTTTTATGAAAGTTTGAGGGCTTATTTGATAGTTCTCCTTATATAAATATTATTTCTCTTTTTTATTTATTTTATCATTTTTATGTATATTCATCTCGTTTTATATTATCTTTTTTTATAGGGGTGCAAACGAGCCGAGCCCGAGTTTATGTAGGCTCGAGCTTGAGCTTGAAATATGTTGTATTGGCTCGAGCTCGAGCTCGGCTCGAACGAGCTTAGAAAATCCGGGCTCGAGCTTGACTCGCAAATATTGACATGGCTCAATTCGGCTCGATAAATTTGGTTCGTCAACTCAAATGTTACAAGTTCGATTAGCTCGAAAGTTCGGGTTCGAACTCGAGCTCAAGTATGAAACGATCTTTGAATATTTGTGCTTAGTATTTGCAAATTAGAATTTACATGCCCAACAACTAAAAGTAGAGTAAATGTTGTCCAAAATAAATAAAAAATGATCGAACCATGATAATTTAACTGAAACTAGAGTTACGGGAACGGAAAATATAATATCTCTCCGATCCTCATATACATTTATTAATCGGTATTATATATTGATGGAGTATATGGGTCTGAGCCCCAGGACCCACATACTCGGAAGAACGGAGCACAAGACAACAGAGTGGCGCCCTCGTCGGCCAAGACGCCCCCGTCGGCCGAAAAGGTGCCAACTCGGATTACGGTCCTGAGTCTAAGGGACTCGGGTGCCCTCGTCGGCCGCGCCCTCGTCGGCCACGCCCTCGTCGGCCTCGAAGACCTCCCAGAATCAAGTCCTATACTTACTCATTTGTACAGCCCATTAGAGGCTTTGTATTCGGCCCAGTAGCGGTCCAGTTGTAAATGGGCCTCCCAAGCCCAAGGCTTGGGAGCCCAACCCTAATTTTCTCTATAAATACTCCCCTTGGGAGTAGTTATAGGGGTCACAAATTCATTCTATTGAAGCATATTATTGCACTTCTCTCTCTAGCTCTCACTTCTCTCTAGAATCTAGGAGTTAATACTCTATCATTTGGTGCTCTCGTTGAGAGCTAGAACAATCAAGTTAGCACCCTTCGTCGCTACCAAGCACAGCTAACCACTGATCATGGGGAGAACTAAGTCAAACCGCAACCTCGTCAGCAAAGCCATCCCTGAGGACCAAGAGCCCAGGGAGCACGATGAGGACGCCACGGCCGACCAGGTCGGCGGAGGGGACCTCTTCCAGGAAGCCTTCAACCTCACGACGGACCTCCGCAACCAACTCAACAGCGGAGTCCCCGACGCCCGCCTCGGCCTGGAAAAGAGACGGGCTGAGAAGACGGACCACGCCCCGGCCCAGCCTATGGCCGCGGCCTCTCCGTCCGTGGATCCACAAGTCCAGGCCGCGCTGTCGGTCATCATCGCCAGCCTGGCTCAGAACCCCACCGTCCTCAGCGCGCTCTTGCCAAGGACCGGGGGAAACGTCACTCCACCTCCTCACCCCCAACCACTGGCCGACCAGATAGGCAACAATGAGGGGGTTGTGGCCCAGGACACGGCGTCGTCCCACTCCCACCCTGCTTCCCCTCTTCGGCCCGGGCAGACCCCAGCGCGTGGAAAAGCCTCTGCCTTTAATAGGCTAGGTGACACGCGCCGTCGTCCGGTTTCGAAGAGGATGGCGGGACGGATTGGTGATCTTCGTCCTGGCTCGCCAAGGGAAAGTTTGGGGTCCGTGTCCCGGACAGCGGACCAGCCCCGCCCGGACAAGGGCAAGGGGAAGTTACACGAGGATGACGCGCGTCACCAGATCAACGCGGCTCACAACGAGCGCCTGAGGAACCAGCCGGGCGCCGCTGCGGCCGATAGGGACCCCCGGGACGAGGTCATCGCCCAGCTGGAAAGGAGGTTGGCTCAGATGGAGGCCAAGCAGTCGGCCAACGTCCCTACGGCCGGCGCCTCCAACGACCCCGACCTCAACGCGCTCATGAACAAGGTCAGCGCCCTGGAGAGGGAGCTGGCCGAAGGGTGGGGTGACCCCATCATCCAGGTCAGGACTAGGACCCCTTTCACCAACAGGGTCCTCTCGACCCCCATCCCTGAGAAGTACAGGGGGAACGCCATCAAGTCCTACGATGGCCGATCAGACCCCCAGGAGCACTTCAGCCGCTATCAAAACAACATGCTGATGGTGAATGCGTCAGACGAATACCTCTGCCGCTGGTTCCTCTCTACTCTCGAGGGGCCAGCGTACGAGTGGTTCAACGGACTGCCAGAGGGAAGCATTGACTCATGGCAAGATCTCGCCCAGCGCTTCCTCACTCACTTTGCCGGAAGGAAGCGCGCCAAGAAGTATTTCACCCACCTCCTCTCCGTCAAACAGCAGCACGAGGAGTCCCTCCGGTCATTCATTGACCGGTGGACGAGGGAGACCGAGGAGGTCGAGGGTGTAACACCCCGGGGCCCCACACGGACCCGAGTTAGCTCCCTTAAAAGGAGATGCACCTCTTGTTGGTATGAGTAGTACTATTAATCCTCTTAAATTAATCTCGGGTATTACAATCACCCCCACTTAGGATCGCAACGTCCTCGTTGTGCCCTTAAACCAATCTCAATCAACCCCAGAACCTTGCCCCGCTAAGTGACCGCCCGATATCCAACGGGTCAGCACACTGTCGCAGGGTTGCTCTGATACCACTTGTAACACCCCGGGGCCCCACACGGACCCGAGGTAGTTACTCTAGACCTCTAGTACTGTCCCCACAAACCACCACGAGCCTTTACCACGCACTTTGTCCTCACTCATGCGCGCCCTGAGAAACTTCCCAAGGGGTCACCCATCCCAAGACTACTCCCGTGCAAGCACGCTTAACTTTGGAGTTCTTGGGTGATGAGCTCCCTTAAAAGGAGATGCACCTCTTGTTGGTATGAGTAGTACTATTAATCCTCTTAAATTAATCTCGGGTATTACAGAGGGGGCCGATGAGCGCACCCTCCTCGCCTTGTACCAGGGAGCCCTCCGCAGCTCCCCGTACGCCAGGAGCCTCATCACTGACCCCCCGAGGTCGTACGCCAAGGCGCTCCAACGCGGAGGCTTGTATGCCGACGCCGACGAGCTCCACAATCACAAGAGAGAGGGGGGACATCCCCCCAAGAAGACAAATCCTTCGCCGGCCTCGGGTCCGTCCCCGGCCGGCCAGGGTGCCCAGGGCCGCCACGGCTCTGGTGGACAAAGTAAGAAAGACCGCCACTGGCGGCCGAGGCTGGAACGGCTGGGGGTAGCCCTCACCCACCCGGTTGGCACCATCCTCGATTATGCCGAGAAGCACGGCCTCATCGAGCAGGCTCCTCGGCCGGCTGAGGAGATCCTGGCCATCCAACAGGGCGGCACATACTGCCGGTTCCACAAGAACTCGTCGCACAACACCGACGATTGCATCACACTGAAGAAGGCCATCGAGCGCCTTATTCGCCAGGGGGAACTCTCCCAGTTTGTCAAAGGTGGCCCACGCAAGAACACTTGGGTAAACACCGGCAAACATGGGGGCGAACCCTCTGCGAAGAAGCGGGAGATTGGTAGACTCAGCGACGACGAGGACTTCGAGGAGCCTCCGCCGAAGAAGAATCACATCCACCTCATCGTAGGTGGGAAAACTGGGGGGGACTCCGCCACTCAGAGAAAGAAATGGGCCCAATCCCTTTACATTGGGGAGGTGTCCCACGTTCCCCCCCAGCCGAAGAAGCAGCGAACGGAGGCGATCACCTTCACCGACAAGGATCTGCCTCCGGGTACGGAATCGCACAGGGACGCCCTCGTCATCCGATGTGAGATCGGTGACTCCATCATCCACCGTACTTACATCGATACGGGGAGCTCCGTCAACGTGATGTACCTAGACACCTTCAAGCAGCTGAAGCTGGACAGAGCTCTGCTGAAGCCGATCAAGACCCCGTTATCCGGCTTCACCGGGGACTCCATCGACGCCGAGGGCACGATAGTCCTCCCCGTGGAAGTCGGTGACGGCCCCCACCATGCCAAAATTGACATGGAGTTCATGGTGGTCAACCTCCAGTGCGCCCACAACTTGATCTTGGGCCGGCCAGCGCTGCAGGACTTGGAGGCCATCATCTCCATGAAGCACCTATGCCTGAAGTTCCCCACCAATGACGGCATCGGCTACGCCAGAGGAAATCAGAGGATAGCCAGAGCTTGCTACCTCAAGCTGACGAGGCCGGCTGAAAGGGAAGGACAGCGGATAGACACCATCACGGCCGCCGTCGCCATGGACGAGGAGAGGCCACATGCGGAGCCGGCCGAGGAGGTCGAGGAAATCCCTCTGGATACCTCCCGGCCGGAGCAGGTTCTCAGGGTCGGAAAGCAACTCCCCCAGGACCAGCGAGACGCCATCCTCCTCGTCCTACAGTCATACGCCGTTGTCTTCGCGTGGGGCCCGGATGATATGCCCGGCATCA